TCGGCGGCGGCGCGGCGCTGCCTGTCGGGGGCGGCGGCGTAGGGCGCGGGGGCGGAGGCGGCGGCCGCGAGTCGCTCCGCCTCGAGGCGCCGCCGCAGCCGCTTGATGAGACGCAGCCGCTCCAGCGAGTTCGAGGCGAACGGCGCGGCGCCCATCTTGAGCGACTGCGAGATCAGCGAGGCGAGCTGCTCCCACACACACACACACACACAAATATTCATGAAAATTGTGATACGAGGAGATCGTATTGCGACATACTCGATAGAAGAAAGTGTCTGACCGCGCAGTGCACGGCGAGCTGGCGCGCCAGCAGCGCCACGTTGGCGTCGGAGACGGCGTGCGCGTCCATGTGCGCGAGGAACTCGTTGCGCAGCCGCTCGTCCTTCGTCTTGACGAAGACGCGGTTCATGCCGTGCTCCATGGGCTCCACCAGCACTATGCAGAAGTTCAGCTGCCCCTGCGCACACCACACACAAACGTTTGAAATGCACGCTGGGTGGATGGCGGGGCGGGGCGGGGCGGGGCGGGGCGAAGGGCGGGCCTGACCTTGATGGTGAGTATGTTGAAGTCTGCGCCGGAGTGGTTGTACACGATGGAGACGTAGTCGTTGCCGATATACTTGCGCTTCTCGTTGCAGGAGGGGTCCTTGGCGCACGAGGGCATCGCCGTCGCCACGTGGAACAGCACCTGCGACCGCAAACAATGTACTCGGTGGGGAGGTGGGGCGCGGGCGGTGGGGCGAGGTGCACGACAGACCTGCATGATGTCGTCGTGCCAGACGTAGGCGTAGCGTCCGTCCTTGCCGCCCTTCTCCAGGTTGAGGAAGAGCGTGGGCTCGTCGCAGCCCTCGAGCGGCACCAGCGTGCCCAGCTGCCGCAGGAACTCCGCGTACCTGCAGCACACGCGCACCTTACTCTGCCGCTCGCGCCGAGCCCCCGCCCCGGCCCCACTCACCTCACGCTGCCGTACTCGTTCCTGAGGATGGCCACCTCGTTGTCCTGCTGTCCGGGGCCCACGTACAACACACCGATCTGCAATAACACCTACGTTGTTACAAGAAATTCACATCACCTCAATATTATATATGGGTACAGTTTTAATTTGACGGAGGGACAAATAGTAAAAATGTGAAATGAGAAAGGGAAGGATCCGTAAAACTGACTTTGTATGTCTCCAGCGGCGGCACCAGGTCGAGGTTCTTGATGGTGCGCTCGTGCTGCACGCCCGACACCTTGAGCGGCCGCTCCGTCAGCGGGTTGAGCGCGGCCGCCGCCTCGCCTGCAACACGCACGCACTCGCTGCATCATACCGCACGCACCGCACGCATCGCACGCATCGCACGCACCGCACTCACTCACTCACTCACCCGGCACGGGCGGCGAGATGGGGTGCGTGCTCATATTGTGGTAGAGCTGCAGGAACACGAAGGAGGGCGCCACGCCGCCGCTGGTGGTGCGCTGCCAGCCCGCCTCCCTGCGCACACGCACACGCACGCACGTTCCCATTTCACTGCTTAACAGAATTCCATTATATTGACATATTTCAAGAGTAACGGAAATCTGCGTCATTCGGGTTTACAACACCCGCATAAGCTTTATTCTTAATATTTTTTGTCGGTGACTTGTGGAAGAAGAGGCAAGAGGGAAGAGGGAAGAGGGATACGAGTGTCGGAGAGCGGACCGGTGGCGGCGCGTGGGGCTCATGACGGAGATGGTGTTGGAGCGCTTGGAGCGCGACAGCGGCGGCAGCTCGTCCCGCTCGAGGGCGCCGGACGCGTAGGCGGCGAGCGCGGCGGCGCGCGGCGCGGCGCCCGGCCCCTGCTGTCTGCGGCCCCGCCCCTCCGGCACCGTGCCGTCGCTCGCCGTCTGCAACACGCACACACTCACACACTCACTCTCGTGTCACGTCACGTCACCTCACCTCACGTCACGTCACACGACGAGACCTCCCTCACGCTCACCTTCTGCAGCTGGTGGTGCGCGCCGACGTCGCCGCCGTTGCCGACCTCCGTGCCTGCGCACATCACAAGAGTTATGCATTTCCGAAAGACGACAATATCGGCGACACGAGCGCCACACCCACCAGGGTCCGAGTTCAAGGTCATCAGGTGCGGGTACGCGGCGTGCACGTGCGCTTTAGCGTTGCCGTGCGCTTGCGCGTCGGCGTCGACGTGCGCGAGCGCGCGCTGCGGCTGCTGCACGTGCTGCGAGGGCTGAGCGTGCTGCGGCGGCTGTGCGAGGGGCGAGGTGCCGGAGATCTCCTCCGGTATGGCCTCGCACGACACGCGCATGTCGCTCTTTTTCGCCGCTTTCTTGGTCGCGTGTAAAGTCATCGCGGCAGTTCTGACAAACAACAAAAACATAAATGCGTATGTTAGACACACAATTTAAGGTATTTATAATATGAAAATGATGTGCGGTGATGTCGGGGGTGGGGGTGGGGGGGGGGCGTGTAGTTACGCGGGCTCGCAGCGCGGCAGCACGATCATGTGGTTGGCGTCGTCGGCATCGGCGTCGGGGCCGAGGTCGTCCTCGTCGCGCGCGCTCAGCTTCCAGGAGGAGGACATTTCGGGCGAGGAGTTGGAGCGCCGCACCGGGTGACGCGACTTGCTCTAAAAAATAATAAAGAAAAAATGTGTTTATTTTTTTTAACGAATTGTAAAATAACAATCGGCCTCCGTGTCGACGGAGCGAACGTTACCTCCGGCAGGACCAGCAGCAGGTCGTCGTCGTCCGTGGTGCTGGAGGAGCTCTGGCGCTGCGGCGAGCCGGGGATGTTGATGGGCTGCGTGCTCATGCTGCGCACACAAACACAGCTTGCATCACAATTATTAAAAGATCAGGAGGTTGAGAGATGCACAGGAGTAGCGTGGGGTGCGTACCGCGCGGGCTGGGGGCCGAGCGGGGCGGCGGGCGGGGCGGCGAGCGGGGCGGCGAGCGGGGCGCGCCTCTCTCCCGCCACCACAGAGTCCGAGCTGCCGGTAAACACGCACGCATTGCACTTCACATGCTTAAACTATTGTAATCGTATAAATGTATACAGTATTGTAATCGTTGCGACGAACTATTTATTTAACAATATGACAGATTGTAGTAAGCTAATGAGGACAGACCTGGACTTGTGCAGGTCCGCGGCGGCGGGGGCGGGGGCGGGGCGCGGCTCCCCGCGCGCTCGTGTCTCCGCCCCGACCTGCGCACGCGCACACCACCACGTTAACTATGACTCTCATTTGTACATGCAATTTTTGAACAGAAATAAATATTTGTCAGTTTTTATATTGCAAGTTAAATGTTGAAGTCGAGAGATGTACCGCACTACTATATTAAATATGCACAAAGAGAGTGACCGTGGGGGCGTGGGTGTTGTTGGTGTGCGGGGCGTGGTCGAGCAGGTCGTCGAGCGGGCCGGCGGCGGCGGGCGGCGTCAGCAGTGCCAGCACGTCCTGCAGCGGCCACTCCTGCAGCTGCGACCAGCTCATCTGCGGGCACGCGCACACACGCACACGTCAGCTCGTTGCAACTCGCTAGGTGTGAGACAAGGGAACGTTGTAGAGGTACCTGGTTCTGCAGACGCAGCAGCCAGGATACGTCGCCGGTGGGGGAGCGCACGTGCAGCTCGGCCCAGCCGCCGCACCAGCACGGGCACGCGCCCGCCGCCGCCAGCTCGCCCGCGCGCGACGCCCACTCCCCCGTCTCGCGCTCCTGCGACAAGCGCCATCGTCACCTCCCGTACTCACCCTCACCATCCCCCTCCCCCTCACCCTCCTTCACACGAACTACTAACCATTTCCTTTGATGACTTTTCGAATCGCTGCGAAAACTGATTCAGTGCCTCCAAGATAGAATCGTTCGATTTGTTGTTTTCCGCAGAGTTTTGTCTGAAATTCATTCACACGAATAAATTTGAAACCGATAAGTTAAATACTAACTCGAGACTAAAAAAATTATAAAATGTACAAAAAAAGTGATGCAGAAATAAAAAGGTTTACTTTTAGAAGAAGCGCACATTTAAATGTGAACAAACTGCATGAGAAAATGTGTGAGCGCGGAAGCTAGACGTTACCTGATCGCGCGCCACATCACAACGTGTCAAATGTAGTCGTCGCTGGTTCTGCCGAAACTTTCGTACAAAATAATCGTTATCTTAATACAATATTATCAGAGAGAGAAAGAGACGACAACTTCTTGTATGTACCAATGCTTCGGTAGAGGAAAAATAATTAGCAATGGTACCGAAGCTTTACTCGCTATAGCCGCGGTGTGAGGGCGTGGCGGGGGCGTGTGGAGGATATGAAGGGGCGTGTGAAGACTTGGGGGGCGGACCTGGAGGCGGGCGCGGTGGGCGGCTGCAGCGCTTCCGAGATGGAGAGCGAGGAGCAGGAGGTCTCGGTGGAGCGGCTGTGCTGCAGCGAGTGCTTGCTGTAGCTGTGCCGCATCACACCGCCGCATCACATCGCCGCATCACACCGCCGCATCACACCGCCGCATCACAACACAATGTCACAACTTGTCTCACCGTTATCCTAACATATTCAATATGGCGCGTCTTCTCCGAGCGGAATTCGTTGCTGATTGAATATTTATTCAAATGAACGAGATTATTGTTGGCCGAAAAGTTAATTCGACTCGAAGGACCTAAATACCTTCGACCGTCGTATCAGTTCTCCGAATTCTTCAATTTGCCAAATATTTACTTCACCCGACCGACATCTCGTCTGATCGTACACACAGGGAGCGAGAGAGCGAGAGAGCGCGGAGCATGCCTTAAACATTTTGAATCCGATGGGTAAAAGCCAATGTCAAAATAAGCTCTCAAATGCAGCCGAGGTCGACTGCATCATGCATACTATTTTACGTTTTTGTAGGATAAATATGTTTTAGTAAGCCGATTAACTTTTAAAGTAGTGCATTGACCGTGGATTCCTGACACGAACATTTTGGAGTCGGAATCCCAGGCACGGTAAGAAAGCATCAGCATAATGTTGTCTCACCGCTTGACTTCGGGCGGGTGTGGGTGTGGGTTGTTGTGCACGTTGAGGTGGTTGCCGGAGGAGGGCTGGCTGAGGTCACTGTTGTCGCTCGCCTGCACCTGCAGCAAGCACAGAACGGATACGGATACTCTGACTACATGTACCTGCACAACACAACACACACTGTAACAGAGCGGGGGCGTACCTGCAGCGTGTGGGGCGTGTGGGGCGTGTCTGCGGGGGCCGGGGGCGGGGCCGGGGGCGGAGCGGGCGCGCTCTCCGCCTGGTGGCGACACAGCAGCGCGCACCTGCACACGCAACATCACGTTATGCACATCTTACGTTTCTCTCCTACATACATAAATCGGAATACTTAATACTAACATTGCTTTTTTGAATTAAATCGGATAGGTCACAACGACTACCATGAAAGACGAATATAATAAAAACTATAATAAAAAGTTGTAAGGAGGACCTCTCGCAGAGTCCCTGCTTGATGGAGTTCTGCAAGCAGCCGGAGGTGGTGATGGTGACGAGCTTGTGGCCCACGAGCCACGTAGTCGACTGCCCGCCGTTGAACAGGAACTCGGCCATGTCGCTCCTTGCACACAGACACATCGGGTTAGAGCGGGCGCGGAGGTGGGGGTGGGGGTGCAGGTGGTGGGGCGGGGGGGCGGTGCGCACCTCTGCGGCTTGACGGCGCAGGGGGTGAAGGTGTAGCGCGCCAGCAGGTCGATGCAGGTCTCGGTGAGCTCGACGTGGAAGGCGGCGGGCGCGGCGGGGGCGGCGGGCACGGCGGGGGCGCGCGAGCCCGCCAGCGGCGCACGCGACACCGCCTTCGAACCCTGCACAAGAGCCGCGCTGGACTACACTTCACCCTTGACCCTCGCAACACTCCATATATCCTCAATGACATGGCTTATTTGAAGTTCATTCAAACGTTTAGTACTGTATGATGTATACTGATTTTGGATCAGCTACAAACACTCGGAATGATGCAATAATGATTCGCGACTGCGACTAACCAGACTGGAGCTACGTTGACGGTTAGAGGAATCCTCGTTGGCTGACGTCTGCTGGAAGTTGTTGGTCTTGTAATGCAGCTGCTCCTCGCACGGCAATATTATGTAGTTGTGCAGGCCCTGCGCGGACGTAAAGAGCGTTTCGTGAAATACATAGAAATGGGTCCGGCGGAAGCGAGGGGTGACGGCGAACTGCGGACTCACGTGAATGATGAACCTGACGAAGTTCCTGCGGTAGGAGAGGCGGCACTTGAGGAACCAGGCGGCGATGACGTGGTGCGCCAGCGACACCACGTAGCGGTTGTAGCGCGAGGGGTTGGTGTACGGCAGCAGGATGGCGAACACCGACATGTACTGGTCCTCCACGAAGGACGCGAACACGCGCGGCAGCCGGGTCAGCGCTGCGGACACGCACACCGCACTCAGGTAATGCTTGCTGGCTGCCGAGGGCGGGGCGGAGGGCGGGGCACTCACTGGAGAGGAACTCGAGCATGGGGCTGGCGATGGCCTGCGTGTCGGAGATCTTGGAGAGGTCGAGCAGCACCTCGGGCAGCATCTTGCCCATCGTCTCGCGCGTCTCCAGCGTGAAGATGGTCAGCGCGTTGATGTAGGGCTGCGCCTGTCGGAGCACTGCGCGCGCACCACGTTATCATACACGGGTAAAACAACAATTCAAAGAGATGAAAGTGCGATACGAATCGAACAGCAAGGAAGTCTCACCCATCCCGTATCTGAGCAGGCAGCGGATGATCCTCTGTTGCGTGTGTGGCTCCAGGAAGCTGTGGTAGGAGGCGAGCGCGGCCAGCGCGGGCAGCGCCGTCGCGTGCAGCTCCGACTGCGACAGCTTCTGCCCGCCGCCCGCGCGCACGCCCTCCGCGAACGCCGGGCTGCGCTCCGACACCTGCGACACGCCCTCGCCGGTGGTCAGCACTGCGCCCACTGCGCGCGGCACCAGCACCAGCACGAGCACGCACTCACACTCACCATGGCGCACAGCGTGGAGGCGAGCAAGTCGAGGTCGTGCGCGCGCCGGCCGACGAGCAGCGCGCGCGCCTGCAGAAGGCCGGGCAGCGCGCGCAGCACGTGCGCCAGCACCGCCCACTCGCTCTCCTTGCTCAGCGCCGTCGTCAGCGCGCGCGCCGTGCGCCCCGCCGGGAACACGCACGCGCCCTGCACCATACATAACGCATCGAGACGCAGCGACAAAGCGAAGAGATGGCGGAGGGGTACATACCGCCGGCAGGTCCTTGGGCTGCAGCGGCTGCGGCTGCTGGCCGCGCACGGCGGGCGGCTCCGCCAGCAGGAAGGGCGAGCAGAGCGGCTGCAGGCGGAGCGCGCCCGGGCCCGCCGCCGCCGCGCCCCACACCACCGCGCCGCTCGCCTCGTAGCAGAACCCCACGCAGTTGAACGCGTTCACGCGCAGACCGAACAGCATGTCGAAGATCTGTGAAATTTACAAATTTACATTGAAAAACACATTGCGCATTATAAATTTATAAGTGGTGCAGTGCGTGTGTGCAGGCGGGCACGGTGGGCGTCTGCACGGTGGGTGACCTTGAGTCTGATGTCGGGATGGTGCACGAAGAGCGCCGGGCGGCGGTAGTGATGATCCAGGTGGTCGAGCAGCACGAGCAGCGCGCGCGTGGCCAGCGCGCCGGGGCTGCGCAACGCCTGCTCCTGCAGCACCTCCAGCAGCCCGCCCGCCGCCAGCCGCAGGTCGCTGGTGTCCGCCTCCGCGGGGATCGGCACGTCCGTCACGTACATCTCGAACGGTCGATTCAGTATCTGCGAACGTACTCCTCGTCAAAATACTACAATCTCCCTCCACAAGTAGCGGGAGCGTCGTGCAAGCGGGAAGCACCTTTTCCAGCAGATCGATGAGGTCGGTGCAGGCGTCGGGGGCGCACATGCGAGCGAGCTCGGGCAGGGCGCGCGCGGCGGCCGCCCGCAGTGCGGCCTCGGCGTCGAGGGCGCAGGCGGCGGCCAGCGCGGTGCCGACGCGCTCGGCCAGCTCCTCGCCGTGTCCGCAGCGGTGGCGGCGGATGTAGGCGAGCAGCGCGGCCAGCGTGTGCAGGCGCACGGGCAGGCGCGGCTCGCAGCGCAGGTAGCGGTCCGCGAGCGCGAGCGCCGCGCCGGCCGCCTCGCCCGTCAGCTGCGCCGCGCGCGCCGTCACCACCTTCATGGCGGAGGCCTCGGGCCGGTCGTGCGCGCAGTGGTCCAGCAGGTCGAGCAGGTCACCGGGCGGGCCGCGGTACTGCCCCGCCTCCTGCAGCGCCTCCAGCGACGAGATCAGCGCGTGCACCCGGGAATGGATCAGCTCGTTGGGCGGATCCATGACCTCTACGCAAAACGGTCACAGTGAGAGTAGTGGTGGGAGGGGCGGGGTGGTGGTGGGGGGGATACGTACTGTCGTGGTGCAGGAGGCGGCGCACGGCCTGCAGCAGCACGTGGGCGGCGGGTTCGTGCAGCTCGTGCGGCACGCGCGCCACCAGACTCTGCAGCGCCACCACCACCTCGTACACCACCACGGCCGCCGCCTGCGCGCCGCTCAGCGCCTGCAAACGACGACAACATACCATCATTTCATTAAATATTAAATTATTTGATGCCAATCACTTTACTCAGTTTGTAAATGACTCACTTTGAGGAAGGCTGGCAGCACGGCGAGGAAGGAGACCTTGATGTTGTGAACCTTCTTGGGTCCCCAGAGCGCCATGTTGATGTAGAAGACGGCGCCGCGCACGAGGCCCGCGTCCACCGCGCACCCGTCGCCGCCCTCGCCGCTGCTGCGCAGGATGTGCACCAGCTCCTGCAGCGCCGCGTGCCCGATGTCCGCGCCCACCACGCATCGCATCAGCTGCGCACCGGGACACGGGCATTACAAGGCGTGCTGCGTGTGGGGTGTAGGGTGAGGGCGGCGCGAGGTTACCTTCCAGCTGGTCTGGCAGTACTGGTCGAGGTTGACGGTGCGGCAGAGCGCGGCGACGAAGGCGGGCAGGGCGGAGCGCGGCAGCAGCGAGTACGAGAGCACGGCCTCCAGCAGCGAGAGGCAGGCGTGCACCACGCCGCCCTCCGCCGGGTACACGCACAGGTAGCACGCGTGGCTGCTCACACATGTTACAACTCAATGTTACTTCTTCATGCAACCATACATAACTATTTTGCTCCCAATAAATATAATATGAGCAATTGGTAGAGAACATACTTGACGATGCCATGTACGATATCTTCATCTAAGTAGGTGGCGTTGAACTTGACGACGTTGATGATGAGCTGCAGGAACTCTATGATCTGCGCCGGCTGCTGCAGCTGCGCCAACCACTCCAACAGGAATGCTCCAATCTGGAATATGAAAAACGATTAAATAGAAACTTAGCCTATGTTTCTTGAGTCAGAACAGGTGTGTTATACATATTATAATGTCTATTATTTGTCTGTGATTTTTTTACTTGAAAGATTCCTCAAGATAGTACATTTAACAATATGTTGTGTTGTACCTGTTCCTCGAAGCAGTTGATATTTTTTCCGCTGTTGGTGAGGGTGTGTAGCAGGCGGAAGCGCAGCGGGCCATCCTCCGGCGCGGCGGCGGCGTGCGTGACGCGCAGAAAGTGGAACAGCGTGGTGCGCATCACCAGCAGCTGCTCATCCTGTCCCTCGGCCAGGCGCCGTAGTAAGCACAGTGCTGCGTGCCGGCTTTCCACATTGCTCTCCTCCAACAGGTCTCGAGTACACGACCAAATTTTCTCAACACCACCCTACAGAAACACCAAACAATCCTGCCTTCGGAGAATTCATATTTATCATCATGACCGAGATTATCGCTCATGACAATTCCAATATTGTGTTAACCTGAGGTATAGTTTTATAAGTATTTCTCAGGTTAGCATATCTTGTATCAAGTGAGAGTGACATAAAAGTTTATTGGTATTTAATTGAGTGAAGTCCTCTTGAGCCCGGCCCCATACATTTTAAAGAATGCTAAATTTTTTGGCATATATATGACATTCCACATGTACAATAAAACCATTACTTACTTTATACATACTTTATGCACTAATAGCAATGAAATAAATAAGTATGAATGGATTTTGTGAAAGAGAACATGCGTAAGAAAGAAGTAAAATCAACTAATGAAAGCTTAAGGACTTAAGAGATAGTAGTACAACCTGTAGGGACAAGGACAGGTTGATAATGATACTTGTTTATATTTTGATAGTGTTATAATATTTATTATATATGTGTTAAAGAAGTTCCATGTTCTCATTAATTATTTTTTTATTAACAGGGGTATGGTCATCATGAATATTTTTACAATATAGAAAGAAAACATAATGTACAGTGATAAGAAATGCACTAGACATTTAACACGAAATACTTGGTAGCATTGCATCAGCAAGATGTGGGTATGTGTGAGAGTTACTCAGATGTGTTACCTCCTGTATCCGTATCTGCAGGGCCTTCTCGCCGACCTCCCGGATGGCGCGCAGCCGGCGGGCCAGCGGCGTCTCGGGGGATAGCTCTCGCTCCAGCTCGGGCCCCACCAACAGCTCGTTGCGCGCTGCTACCGGCGCTGTTTGCCAAACGCTACTCTTTAGCTCAATCTGCTAAACCCACGACTTATTGCGTTCCAAATGCATGCTAGCAATGGGTGATACGTACCCGTACCTCCCTTTTTAAAAAACACTTTCAATTTGTCTTGAAAAGACTTAGTGTCCCTGTCTCTGGAGCTCATAATGGGACGCCGCTGACGCTCGCCACTTTCTTATTTACACTACAGCTTACGGCTAAGATTAGCGATTACCTATGTGTGTGAAATTGGAAATAAAAACACATATTTGTTAAAAATATTCTCACTACCGCTTTGCTATTCACCATTTGACAGCTTGATAGCCCTCTCTCGCCCTCCGTACAGCTGACAGATAGGTTCGATACGATGGAAAAAATTCTACCTTAATGGTCAACTCTTTGCTAGCAACTAGCAACACTGACCATTGCAGAACTGTAGACAAAGAAGGAAACCAAAGGCAACAAAAAAATACAGAAAGTATTACTTTTTAGGTTTTTATATGCTCTTTGGTCAGTTGTATTAGAAAAAAATAAAAAACTTACCTAGGTACATAGACAGAGACTTTGGTTTAAGAAAATAACATTACATTACAGCCACAGTACGAAAAGAACCTTATATTCATATAGTAAAAGTGTATAGATTAGATTGATAACTCACGCCTATGAAGTATCGAAATACTTTTTGTATGAATTTTAATGGTGTACTTAATTCACAGTTGTCATACTGTCGGACTGTACGCGCACAACGAACAACTATGAACAATCAAGTATCGGTCTTGTAATCGAACAAATAAGTACTATGACTTAGATATTCTATTGCTTTTTTAACTTATTACAGACATTTGGCTATCTCACACAATTAACTAAAAAAAACTTTAAAATATAGCTTTTTATTTGTCAAAACTCAATTTTTGGTTTAATGTTTTATTTCTTTATGTATTTTGAAGAATAATGAAGGTATAAGAAAAAACTATTTCGTCTGTAATTAAATTAAAAAACAGTAATTACGAAATATTCGATTGCAAGTTATATGTTAATAACCATCGAAAATCGAAAATTTTCATAACCGATTTTACTTAACCCATCTCTAATGAATTGTCAAATAGACACGCCATTGTCAACTGTCTTAACTGTCTGTTTAACAGTGGTAGAGCCCGCTTTAACATCTTCGCACAAATTCGCCGGCTCGCCCGGTGAAATACCACGACCACACAGAAGACAGGCGTGAAGTGGAAGCAATTCCGCGTTTCGTATGATGAGTGTGCGTCCCGGAGGCCTAATTTAGTCCTCTTTCCCTTCCCACCCTTTTTCTCAAAGGATAGGAAGTGGAAGTGGACTTTCCGAATGAGAGGATGCATGGAAGGGGAAAATATTTTCTCTCTGTGCATCCTCTCCTCCGTCGATTAAAGGTAGGCAACGCATATGCAATTGCGTATGTCTATGGGCAACGGTCACTTCGCTATTTCAGCGATTTCAGGTGGCCGCTCGCTCGTTTGCCACCTTATAATATTAAAAAAAACTGTCCTAAATAGACACGTTATACGAAGTAGTTACATGCTCTTTGTCGGTGTGTTATGTAGCTATATATAAAGACAAAGGATCTTATTTTTTGAGATGCCTGAAATTATTTGCTTTGTTATCATTATATGCTTGGGATAATATTTACTATAGTATTTTTAGATGTAGTGGAGCGTAAAGGGACGTGAAGAGAGGGCATTCCGAATATTTGTTTAAACACGTTTTTATGCTTTTGAAAGTGTATTTTATTTTAATTATTACATAGCAAAAGTTACAGTAGTTAATAAAAACTTGAAAGTAATATATTGTTAGGTTAAAAACTGTCTCTCAAATTTGCTAACCAAGGTGGTTAGCAAACTGACGCGCATCCACAGAGTAACTGACCCCCCCGCCGAGTCGTTAGGCGTTGCGTCGTACCGTTGAAAAGAATCAAATCATCCCCGACCAATGGCAAGAGCATACCAATGATGCCACCTCTTTTGTAGATAAAATCGTACCGTTCTGCCACCCGTACGGTGTTACCATCTAATAATATTTTAATCGATGGTCTTGATTCTTTTGTGTCGCAGTAGATGGAGCGCTAACTTATTTTTTTACGTTTTGTTTGGAGCTTGAACTCATATTATTGTCTTTGTTTCTTCAAAATGAATATGAGGGATGGCAATATGTCAATATACATGTTTCAGCAGTGAAAATTCTCAGTTAATTGCTATTCTATTCAAATCAAGCAGGCATTTTATATTTTACGATATATTAGTAAGTCACGTTTTACCTATATTGTTGTAAGTAATTTATTGTTGCTTAATTAGTTATAATTATTTCTATAGGGCTTGTGTAATGTCTTCTCTATAACTACGTAATACATTTGAAATTGTATATTCTGACGTATGTTTATGTTGTTATATGTACGTGTTCAATAAAAAAAAAACTACAGACGATTTGTTAATCTCCTTCTGTTTGAAGTTGGCTAAAAAAACATAATACTCACATAGGGAACCTCCTAGGAGGTAGGCGGTTTGAAAGGACCACTACTCTTAGGTACTTGCAATATAATAATTTGTGACCTACGTTAAAAAGATAGACTAGGGTAAAGTAAATTTTTTGTGCAGGCTATCCAAGAACTGCATACATATCCTATATGGTAGTTAAGATGGCTGTTAACAGGAGAGCCATCACACCTTCATATTTGTAGAAGATAATAAACTCCTGTAAGTGTTTCAAGGTCATAGAGAAACATACATATTTAAAGCTGTTATTATTTATAAAGTGTTTGTAGTGTATAGGTACAAGGTTACTACTAACATATAAGCAAGAAAAAATTCCACGACTAATAAATATAGTAAATTGTTACAGTTTAAATATAACAATAGTATATAAGATATACGTACACATATAACATGAAGATATATATATATATAGTGATAATTATATTTGCCCCAACAATAGTTTGTCACCGGCCTAGTCAAGGGTATGCACTAATATGTACTATATTATAATACATTTATCTAATAAAACTTCTGACAATCGAGAGGATATATTAAATATATACGAGTATCATTAATGTACAAGTGATTGCATTCGTCTATTAGGCGATTCGTATTTAATCCCAAAGTTTAAATTATGAAAGTCCAGTCCATTAATGAAAAATATTAATCTTGTAGGTATAGATTGTGAAGTTTATGTGGTAATAAATAAAGGTGGAGAGTGGCAAGTGGTGGCTCAGATCCAGTGTGTGGTGGCGCTGGCAGGACGCCAGGCTGCTTCTGTTAGTCGTCTTTCAACACCTGTGCGATGATATTTGCTCAGGCGTATTTTCCATGTGTAGGCAAATATAGAAACGAAAATGTTGGTAGGAATACATAACGCATTTCGGCTATCCAATGTGATATAAGCTATACTTAATAGTGTAACTTTCTAAACTGTTAATATTTCTTTTAATAATTCATATTTAATTACATAAAAAACACAATACACGAGTTAAACTATTCTTTGGCCCCTGAGCCTCTCTCAGGGGCCAAAGGCTCTCTAAAGCTAGTTTGGGGCCAGTAGACCGACACAATAGTGTCGGGTTTTCTTCCTAATAGTAATATGCATCGTCATAAAATGCATCCTGATATCCCTTTAGAAGAAATTTACATTTACGTGCCACAAAACTTTAGCGCCTAAATGTAACCTTACGTTGAGAGGTTGCAAGTGGTAGAGCGGGGAGAGCGGGGGAGGGAGGGACGGCGACCCTCGTCCTGTCGCAGGTGAGTAAGGCCGCGGCCGCTACCTTCGTCAAACAGCCGGAATTAAACGGTTTTATACGGCCTATACGTTACAGCGGAAATGAAACAACCGGCACGCCGGCGCGCACAGGCGAGCACACACACACACACAAATCTTACTAATATCAGTAATGTTATAAATTTTATATCTCCGGTAGTTTTAGTTGTATTTTTTGTGATTTAAAGAATGTTTTGCTTATAAGTAGGAAGAAAAAAGTATACTACACCTAAAAGTGGTAGAACAAGATAATACACGATTGCAGGAAAATAAATAGAACAAAACCAGTCTACTGTCAAGTGATAATATGCATATATATGCACTCAATATACAATATGTTGAATTTTAATGAATTACAATGAATAATTAGAAAACTTATTTATATTGCGCCTAAATTACTTATTTCAAATCTTTGCATATTTATAACATGTGTTGCGATTACATTGGTAACGATAGCCAGGTACAGGTTCTATATGTCTGCTTCATATAGGTACATATTACATACTAAAAGTATTATGTAGTATTCTTACAACGAGTACATTAGTTCATTAGAGTTTAACAGCAACAAGTATTTCACTTGTGCGGTTCCGACTTGATGTATGTCCGGTGCGATGTGCAGGCTGGCTGCGGGCTCGGGGTTCGGGGCGGTTGATGGCGCGGGGCCGGCGGCGGTGCGCGGCGCGGAGCACGTGCAGGGCCTGCTGCAGATGCTCTCGGGCCTGCAACTCGCCTCCTGCCTCTTCACGGACTAGGCCCACGTCGGCAGTTAGTATTCTTATGGCTAATGATAAACACTAACCTATATATTTCACTAGACAGGATGTAAGCCGTGGTACTCTGTGTATAGATAGAATTAGCCGACAGTAAATTCAACTGGCGCTTTAAGGTTAGGACTGAGCTTTGCCTGTCATTTAGCGTATACATAGTATATACAAGTATACGCTAAATGATAGGTATAAACATATTGTGACTATCGCGAAAGCTACAAGGAGTAGTTTTTATGAAGCAACAGGTAATGGATCTCTTAGAAGATATTTTCCAAAATAACTTACCCAAGTATCTCGAAGGTGCCAAGACGAGGCAACAATTAACTATCTCCTATTCATGTGATATGTTATATGCTACACCAGCTGTTGCCCGGGACTCCGTTCACAGCAACACATTTATGTGCAAACAATTTAACAAATATCCTTAGTCGATAAGCAAGCTAAAAGTAGGAATTGAATGTATGATATATCCTACAATGAGGTTTTTGCTTGTGTTTGCAGATGGCGACAGCTTCGATTTTATCATAGTGGGAGCTGGGAGTGCCGGGGCCGTGCTAGCGAACAGGCTGACGGAGCACGGCGGGGCCAAGGTGTTGGTCGTGGACACCGGCGGCGACCCACCCGTTGAGGCAGTGGCAAGTTGATGAAATTTACATCCAAATGTATATATGATAACTTAATTAAAAGTGACGACGACATAAAAGATACCTATTTTACAGCTCCCTGGCTTATTTCAATACACGCCGCGAACAAGGATAGACAAAAACTATACGTCTGAGTACGAGAGCGGGCGGCAGCAATGCCACCGCAACCGCGTCGCCAACCTGACCAGCGGCAACGTGATGGGCGGCGGCAGTAGCATCAACTACATGATCTACGTGCGTGGCAATCGGCAAGACTACGACCACTGGGCCGAGCTCACCAACGACACCGGCTGGAGCTACAGAAGCGTGTTACCTTACTTCATAAAGTCAGAAAAACTACAGGATCCCGAAATATCGCACTCTCCGTTCGCGGTGTATCACGGCACTGATGGATACATTGGAGTGACGCGACAACATGATAACAGCACCGATAAATATTTCGAGGCCGTGAAGGAACTCGGCGAGGACGTTCTTCTCGACATCAACGGCGAGCGGCAGGTGGGGTACACGCGACAGCTGCTGACAGTGGCCGGCGGCGCGCGCCAAAGCACCGCCTGCACTTACCTCGCCGCCGCCAGGAACAGGCCGAACCTCTTCGTTTTGAAGTACACCACCGTCACTAAAATCGTTTTCGATGAATTTAACAACGCGGTCGGAGTGACTGCGCAACTATCGAACGGCACCAAAGTGACCCTCCGAGCCAGAAGGGAAGTTCTGCTCTGCGCCGGCGCCATCAACAGTCCCAAGCTATTAATGCTGTCTGGAGTTGGGCCGAAGAAACATCTACATGAAATGAGGATCCCGGTGCGCGTCGACTTGCCGGTCGGGTACAATTATCACGATCACGTTCAGGCTAGTTTGTTATTTAAAATGGAAAGATCGAACGCATCTCAGGCAGCGCCGCCCCTCACCGAGTTCCCGCTGACCACCTTCACGGGCTATGTCAGCCTGGATGCGGGGCCACCCCGGCCGGACTACCAGGTCATCAACTTCATCGTGCCCAACGATTCGACGGCAACGCTTCAGCTGTGCGCTTTTAACTTCTGGTTCGATTACGACATTTGTCAAAAGATTTTCGACGCGGTCAAAGGAAGATACACGCTGTTCAGTTCCGTGAATCTGATCTACCCGAAGTCCCGCGGCAGGGTGTCGCTGCGCAGCGCCAATCCGTTCGAGGACGCTCGCATCGACACCGGCATGCTGACCGATCCGGCGGACGTCGATAGCTTGGTCCTTTACCTTCAAAACTTTTTACGTATTTTAAACACAAAGTATTTCCGTAGTGTAGACGCGGAGCTGGTCGATTTGGCCTGTGCCAAATGTAACAATTCAGAGTTTGCAAGTGCGGAGTACTGGCGGTGTTACGTGCTGTGTTTGATGAACACGTACTTCCACTACGTGGGCACGTGCGCGATGGGCTCGGTGACGGACTCTCGGCTGCGTGTGCGCGGCGTGCGGCGGCTGCGCGTTGTGGACGCCAGCGTCATGCCCACCACAGTGGGCGGCAACATCAACGCGCCCGTCATCATGATCGCAGAGAAGGCGGCTGACATCATCAAACGGGCACATTTCGGTTGATGATCTCAAGAACATTGATTTAACTTTTGCGTTGTAACGATTACTGATAACAGATAACATGAATCTAATAAAGATTTTTTGTGCACTTACAACTTGCATGTTTGTATTTTTGCGAATGTGTAGATGGATGTATGGATGTTTGTTTGAAGGCATCTCCGGAACGGCTTAACGGATCTTGCAAAAAATTTAAAAGTTTGGTATAGTCTGGAAGAATGCACACGCTACTTATTATTTTTTTAATTCCACGGGGACGGAGTCGCGGGGGACAGCCAGTTAAGTTATAAAGATGTAAAAAGATTTTTACGCTCCAAAAATCGTGTTTCTCTCAATATAACTCCGATTTTTTCCTACGGCACCGTTACTAGAGATGTGGTTCGCACTGCTGAAACATTCACAAACAATGAAGCAATCGAGGTCAATAATTCTTATCAGTACCCGTACCAGTACAAAAATAATGAAGTAAGTAACGCGGCTGTATTGAAAATAAAAAATAATAAAAACAAAAAAAAAATTGTAAGATGTTCGTTTTAATTGAAATAAATAAAAAAGACAGTTACACTATTTGTCAAGACGACGTAATTCAGCCCAAACTGGATGAGGTTGTGTCGCTTTATTGCGAAGTTCCTGGGGCCTTCCAGCTCCGTGATCAGTTCCACACAATGTTAATGTCATTCATCATTATATTGCATTATCACACGATTTACACATGTATGCAAATATTTGGCTCAATTTAACTACGAAAGTAAGAAAAATTCTAAGCAGTAAAATGCGAATGTTATATTATAGTAAATGAAGTGGCTTGGTATTTTTTGTTATTCAAATCGCAGATCGAGTTATCTTGTAAGTTTTATGTCTTAGTCCTTGTTTACAACTAGTTGGTGGTGTTAATGTGTGTGTGTGTGTGTGTGTGTGTATTGTTCGTGTCAAATTTTTCGTCAGCTCTAGCTCTGCTGCTCGCCGCGCAATTCCCTGCCACCGGATCTTTGTAGTCTCCATTACACCTAAAATAGAGTTCAGCGCGGCAAATTCAACATTGGTAGAGTCCGCTTTAACATCTTCACACGAATTGATCGGTTTGCTTGGTGCAATACCACGACCATAACGACAGGCGTTAAGTGTAAGCAATTCCACGTTTCGTCTCATGAGTGGGGCAGCAGAGGCCTAATTTTAGTTATCTTTCCCTTCCCACCTTTTTCTTATAAGGAAAGGATGAGAAGTGGATTTTCGAGATGAGAGGATGTATGGAAAAGGAAAATATTCTCTTTCTGTTAATCCCCTCCTTCTTTGATGAAAGGCAGGCAACGCATATGCAATTGCGTGTATCTATGGGCAACGCTCGCTTCGCTAGATCAGCGATATCAGGTGACCGCTCTTTTGCCACCTTATGATATAAAAAAAATCTTGCGATGTTGCCGAGCTGAGCCGTCAAGATTTTTGATTTTCTTAATACTAGAAAGAAAAAAAACGGTCAAGTTTGATTCAGACTCTCGCCCCGAGGGTTCCGAACAAACCTGTAGGTAAAAGTTCACTTATCACTACAATCGAGTCATAGTTAAAAATATATAACTTTATAATTTTAAAAAATAATATGTGATATAACAAAATAGCTTTTTCTTTTGATTGAAATCACGGGAAATACCCTGTAGGTTTTGATTCCCTTGCGAATGTCGAAATTTTGCGTAAATTTGCGACATAAACGGTTGTATCTGATTTTGATTGGGTTGGCTTGGAAGTTTTATTTTTTCACAGCACCTAGCGACACAGACCTGAGTATTTGATATAAATAACAGCTTGATAGTTCCACGCGTTTTTGAGTAAAAGAGCCTTGACAACAATATAGACGAACAACAAAGTGATCCTATAAGGGTTCCGTTTTTTTCCTATGAGGTACGGAACCCTAAAAAGACCTTGTTCGCGATTAAAAGTGAAGCGAGCAGCGACTGGCAAGTATTTGGGGTGTTTCCACACACGAGACGAGCGTAATGCACTTGTCATAACAAAGGTTGCGCTGCAGCCGCTAGCCCGCGCCGCGCCGCCCGTCGCCCTTCGCCCGCCTGCCCCCTCTCTCAGAACTTATTAACGTTGATCGTTAATTGAATTTTGTTTAGGGCATCGACTACACTGAAGGTATATATTATTTTAAAAGCATCATTTAATTAGGAAACGTAACAAACGCGGTGCTTCTAATGATATACGAGTAATTTACCATTGAGTTAGGTGAGTAGACATTGCCGATCCTATTATAAATTACAATAAAAAATAACAATTAAATTCATCTGAATAAATATTTGTTAGACTGTGTATAAAACTAGTCATAACCATTTTTACTGCATTCATAATGAAATTTATTACCTAATATATTTATTACCTTTATACCTAATATAGGTACTATAAGTTACGTAAGCACTGTGAGGCAGAACCACGTTTCGTGACCACCACATGCATCACCACCAACCATGTTTACACCATGGCTGTGTACTTTCGCCCACCTTATTTCTTTTTGTCAATTACATGCTGCAAATTAACAACATTCATGATTATGTAGACGGTAGAACCTGGTGACTCAGTCTGCAAGGTCCCTGCTGATGTTTCTGGGACAACTGCCAATGAGAAGCGGACCAAACTTGAGTCCGATATGGATCTGGGTCCAGTACCGTATAAATAATAGAAGAAGTCAACCTTTGACAATAAGGCTATAGATTAGCTATTGAGAAAATTGTGTAATTACCATTTTTGTTCCTATTTACCCCGCAATTTAAATTTTACTGTAAGTGGAACATCGCGAAGAGCTCTGACTGTACATTTGTAATTGATGTACATATGAATATGGATGAGGTGTGGGTTATGTTGATGTTGTAACATACATTATATTATGTTTTTTTTATGTAGGTACATAAGCCGTTAAAATTGAAGTTATTGCTAATGTTTATTGTTAAGTAGATAGTGAATAATAGTGAAATAGTGTTAGCAAAAACCAATGCTAACGTAATTTCACAATAGATGAACAATCGTTTATCATGTAGAAGTTGTAAGTGTTTAGGCCAAACACAATTATTTGGTTGTAATGGTTTAATAAGCGGTAAATACAGAGTTGCAAATAGACAAATTGATCGTTGCGCGTATGCATCGGCGGTCGAAAGCGGAAGACCAAGTGACGTTTCGTGCCACCGCACGTCGGTTCGCACCGGTAGTGGTGTTGCCCGCATCTCAGGCGCGAACATCCTCGCCGGGTTGAACACCTTTGTTCAAAGAAGCAGAGTGATGGGCCCATGATTTGTTTTTAATTTGTTCCTAGTGAGAACGATGACCCCGCTGCATCTACTACACGCGGTGCACCTGCTGACCGCAGCCCACCTCGTCCGTTCTGAGCAATACGGACGCAGTACTCATGTCTATGGTCAGTAAGCTAATTTTGGATAAATTAAAGGTGTGATTTAAATCTTAAAGATATGTTTAAGGCTTAAGAATAATTGACAATTAAAACCAGATGGTGAATGCTTTGACTTCATCGTAGTCGGCGGCGGCACCGCCGGCTGCGTGTTGGCCAACAGGCTCACTGAAGACGAACGAACCACCGTGTTGGTCGTCGAAGCCGGGGGAGATCCGCCGTATGAGTCGATGGTTAGTAGCCAATAATACTATGCATGACGTGAGGTGAAGATATATTGCTACTATTTAAACTGACGTTTTTGTAGTTTCCAGGCTTGTTTCCAACGATGGCCGGAAGTCGAGTCGATAAAAACTATACGTCAGAAAAGGACGAGAGGGCACAGCAGTGCCACAGGAACCGCGTCGCCAACCTGACGAGCGGGCACATGTTGGGCGGCAGCAGCGGCCTTAACTACATGCTGTACGTGCGTGGCGCACCGCCGGACTACGAGCGCTGGGCGGCCGCCGCTGCTGACCCCGCCTGGGCCTGGCCGCAGGTCCTCCCCTACTTCATCAAAAGTGAAAGGCTCATGGACCCCGGCTTGCTGAATTCCCCATACAAAATATATCATGGGACACATGGGTACATGGGAGTCGCGCGCGAACATCGAAGGGAAATACATAAGTTTTTGGAGGCCTTTCGTGAGCTAGGACACGAAGTTCTAATGGATGTGAACGGAGATCGTCATTTAGGATTCACTAACCCGCTGTTCAACATCGCTGAGGGCGTGCGGCAGAGCGCGGCGTATTCCTTCCTAGCTCCGATTGTTCATCGCAAAAATCTATATATTCTCAAGGATACCTTAGTCACTGAAATCATATTCGATGAGAACAATAATGCTGTGGGAGTTAAAGTAAAAACTCAAGATGGAGCCATTTTATGTTTAGTGGCGAGAAAGGAAGTTATTTTGTCAGCGGGCGCCTTCAGAAGTCCTCAGTTGTTAATGCTGGCGGGGATCGGGCCCAGGGAGCACCTGGCGGATCTCAAAATACCGGTTCGAAGTAATTTGCCGGTCGGATTAAACTACCAGGATCACGTAGCGGTTTTTATGTCGATCAAAATGGATAAATCGAATGCGTCCTCCGCGCCGCCTAACAAACACTTATTTCCGTTACCCGCGTTCGTCGGCTACGTGGCTCTAGACAAGCGCCAGGCATACCCCGACTACCAGGTGGTCAACTTTGTCGTGCCTCACGATTCCGAAGTTCCATTTAACTTGTGCGCGTTCGGTTACTGGTACGATTACGACATTTGCCACAATCTTCGTAACGGCGGCAAAGGAAGGAATACGCTATTCTCGACGTTGAACATACTGCACCCAAGGTCGCGAGGCAGAGTGACGCTGCGCAGCAGGAACCCTGAGGATCCTCCTGCCATCCATACGGGGATGTTTTCTGATGAGCGCGACTTAGACGATCTTGCCAGATATTTAGAAGATCACGCCCGTATCGTGAATACGACGTACTTCAAAAGCGTCGGCGCGATGATAGTAGACTTGAAGTTGTCGATGTGCGGCGGGATGCGTGTCGGGAGCGGGCAGTACTGGCGGTGCCACGCGCGGTGCATGATGAACACGATGTACCACTACGCGGGCACGTGCGCGCTGGGCTCGGTGACGGACTCGCGGATGCGCGTACGCGGCGTGCGGCGGCTGCGCGTGGTGGACGCCAGCGTTATGCCCACGCTGCCTGGAGCCAACACGCATGCTCCCGTCCTTATGATCGCTGAAAAAGCCGCTGATTTTATAAAAGAGGAACATCGTTTATGTTACAAGAAATAAAACTTTTGTAATCCCTAATTAAACAACAAGTTAATTAAGCAACGAGCACTGTATATAACAGTAATGTATATAACAGACCTATAGCATATTGTCCCAATTATTTATGCTAGCAACAGCGCTGCTTTACGAGATTAATGATAATTTTCTAACAGATAGAGACGTTAGGACATACATACATACATTAAAATGTAAATAAAATAGAATATTCAATTTTTTATAATACGTTTCATAAAACATCTAGAAATAAATTTGAATTACTGTTCCAAAGCTCTAATCTGAAAGAGAAATAGTTTTTAGCACAAAACTGTAAGCATTGTGGGATATCAAATGTTGTTGCTATCGACAGTCCTAGCATATCTATGTATCTTTATTTGTCCATTAACTTTGATTAGAAATATATTATAAGTAGAACTGTGTCCATGAATAATCTTTTCTCATTATTATTTACTTGACGGATTTTTAAAATATTTTGCTACTCGTATAAACAAATATACAAGTAATTTATACACATTTTCTTTTAAAGCAAATGTTCGAGTGAGTTATGTATCGGGTGCACCGGTGACACAGCAGAGGGCGCTGTAAAGATTTACTGTGCAGCTCCCGCGGACCCCAGCACTTTACATTCAGCGCGGTGCCGAACGCCGCGAGCCAGGCGACGGGGCTCGGGGACCAAATTTTTGTTAATAGTATAATTAGTAGTAGTTAACAAACGAATAAACAGCCACCTTAATTCGCTAAAGTAGTGAAGTTTGTGACATCCGCATTTGCAGATGCGTTGCATTTAAACAACAAATGATGGGACGCACACAAACCTGATATTATCCCTTCCTATGCAACTTTGTATCCTCTACCAGTCCATCTCTTCCTTTTAAGAAATGAATGGGAAGGGAAAGAGGACTAAAATGAGGTCTTCGGCACACACAATCACCAGACAGAACGTGGAATTGCTTCCACTGGTCGTGGTAATTAGTCAACACTAATTACAATTCATTTACTATCTGTTTGATAACATATCATTTGCATGTAAATTGATGAAACGTGAACCCATATTATTTCGTGTGTCAAATTATACAAAGATTAGCGCACGTGTTGGCTCTCGACCATTGTGTTTGATCACATTTTAATCTTGTTGCCCATTAATAACTCTTAAACAATTCAGACAAAGAGAAGTTTTGGCAAATATAGACAAGTAAATAAGTTTATCGTTTGGTAACTTCGTTGCTACAGTCGCCATTGTTACTGTATCGCAGCTCGTCTGATCACTTTTAGGCCGTACTTTTGAAACACAAAATAAATCTAGAGTAATCATAACGCTACAAAACCTCGGAAGACACAATATCTATACTAATGATAATATTTGTTTGTAAATCATTTATTTCATAGGAAGTTTTTGAAAATCTAAATTCGCAGTTGTCTCCGAGTTAGCAAGCAATAACTGAGAAGCCACAATTTGTGTGGAATTTCAATTAAGTTGTGACTGAGAAAAGTGCAACAACGGAATTTATGAATAAATATAACATAGTATTAGGAAAGGAAATTGCTTTTCGCAAACGTATTCAAGTATTTTGTTCGTGGTATCGGTTTACATACATTTCAAAGTATTTTAATATAACCGACGATATAATATTAACCGAAAGAAATATCTTTAATACGTTTATTTCAATGCTTTAATTGTAAAGCCTTTTTTAAGGTCAAACCTTTTCTAAGTAATTCTTTTAACCGTTCGTTTGTAAAAAGCTGAAAATATTTTAATTACTAGCATACAGTTTAAATGCGTACTTGAGTGAGTCATGTACCTATACAACAAAAACGTATTTACTGGAACTTTTCGATTACGTAAATCTTGATCTTATCACGTTTTTTAACGACTGTCTGTACCTTCAGTTTAAATGGTAAATGTGTACTTTGTTTTTTAAATACAATTAAAATTCAATTTAAATACTCACTTCGCTCATTATCTTAATTAATTCGAACAAATGTACAAAATAATATCCTCGGTACGTTTAACACAACTAAACAATGTTCAATATTTTTCCTTTAGTTTTATTTAAGTGTTTCTGCAACAATAAATAAGAACCCGACGCCAAGTTTCTCAGTTGCTAAGATACTGTTTCTCAGATATAACATGAAATATGTATATTCGTAGTGATGCTGCGGCGGCGGTCGGCGGCCTACTGGACACTTTTATCATTATATTAGCTTTCTACAATATTAAAAAAAAACTTTTGTGGTACAAATGACACTTTTAATTGTCTTCGTATCAGATGTGATAAAATAATACTTGCACAATAATTATTTATTAATAATTCGTCTTCGTTTATATTTAATGTGCGAAGTGGACCATCTGTTGTGTGTTGTGTTGTGATACACGCGAGGTGTGCATTTGCGATCAATTCGCAAACAATTATCCTGCATTTTATGAAATCCCGGGCGAGCGCGCTCCGCACATAAATCACTGTCAAACAAAGTTTCAACTTTAATTTGGTATTAGGCGAGGTGTGCCCCGGTGGTGGGGGTGCGGGGGGGGAGTGCGGGGGGCTACACCGCCGCTCATCCTAATCAATTATAATCCTTCGCCAATTCTGAAAAGTCACAGCTTCATGTCATCTGTATTGAATGAATTAAACCCTGAAACGCCTTCATAATTTGTTACGGCAAATGTGCGAGTTAATTTGATTCTTTACTTGTTAGTATCCGATATTATGACATATTTCATTCACCTAGCATAGTGTTGTTTATTGTTAAAGCTCCAAAACATTAATTTATTAAGATATTTATTGATGGTTTTACAACCTTAAATTTTTGTTCAGCATTTATTTTATAGTTTTTATGTTATAACTGTAGTTCAAAGTATTATATGTAAATACGTATTTATATATTAATACGAAATGATCTGAAGCGGTACGGTCAGAATCCGTACAACATTCAAAATCTGTTGCATGAACTTACAGTTAATATGACAACTTAACAACTTTTGGAATTTGCATTAATCTTGATCTATTTTGGATTAAAGAAAATTATGAATATATTATGAAAGTATAGATTTTGTAAAATGTTACATTTAGTTTGTCCGCAACTTTGAGTTGCACACAAGAATAGCACTACACATTTATAAAGGGATGGCTGGGTCTGAAGTTGAGGGACAGATCTCTCTTGATCAAATCGGCGGCTTTCTCGGCGAGCATCACGACGGCGGCCAGGATGTTTCCGCCCACCAGGCCGGGTAGCGCGCTGGCGTCCACCACGCGCAGCCGGCGCACGCCGCGCACTCGCAGCCGCGTGTCGGTCACCAGGCCCATAGCGCATGTGCCTGTATAGTCGTGCAGCGGCGCCGCCAGGCACGCCACGTAGCAGCGCCAGTATTCGCGGCTCCACAGCTTGTAACCCATGCAGCGGTTGCCGCTCAGGTCCACCAGTTGAGCTCGGATGTCTCGGAAGTATGTCGTGTTCATTACAGAAGTGAAATCTTTGACGTAGCTTATCAGATCCTCTATATCGCTCTCGTCGGAGAATAGCCCGCTGTAGATGAGCGGAGGGTCGCGCGGGGACGTGCTGCGCAGCATCACGCGCCCCCGCGATTTCGGGTGGAGAAGACTGATCAAACTTAAAAGTGTTTTCCTTCCTTTCACTCCGGCTTTAAGAATTTGACAGATGTCACTTTTGAATCCGAAATTTAGGGAGCAGAATTTCTGCGGCATCGCCGAGTCACTCGGCACGGCGAAGTTGATGCTCTGATAGTCGGGGTGCAGCTGCGCCCGGTTCAGCGCTACGTACCCGGTGAAGGTAGGCAATGGGAAGTTGTGGGGATCAGTGTGCGGGGCGGCCGCCGCCGACCGCTCACCCCGGATCGACAGCAAAACGAAAGGATGGTCCTGCAGGTTGTAGCCGACGGGCAGGTCGCTGCGCACGTTGATGTTCAGGAGGCGCAGATGCTCCTCGGGGCCGATGCCCGATAGCATGAGCAGCTGCGGCGTGTTGAAGGCGCCGGCGGCGACGATCACCTCCCTGCTTGCCTTCAGTACATAGGTCTCGTTGCGCTCGGTTAGAGCCTCGACTCCGATGGCATGGTTGTTGTTGTCGAAAATGATCTTGGTGGCCATGGTGTTTTTCATGACGTGCAGGTTGGTTCTGTTCCGAATGGGCGTAAGGTAGGAAAAGGCGGTGGTCTGGCGGGCGCCGCCGGCGATCGTATACATCTGAGGCGTGTATCCCATGCTCTCGTTGCCGTTCACGTCGAACGTCTCCAGCTTACCGTTTTCTCTGAACGAATCCAAATATTTCCTTATTTCATTGCTAGTTTCCCTCGTGACACCTAAGTGACCGTTGATGCCGTGGCTGTCTCTGTAAGGCGAATTGTATATAATAGGATCTTCGAGTCTCTCGCTCTTGAGGAAGTAGGGCATAGTGTTGTACCAGTTCCAGGCGGAATCGTTGACGACCGTGGCCCACATGTCGTAGTCGAGCGGGCTGCCGCGGCCGTAGAGCATGTAGTTGATGCTGCTGCTACCACCGAGCACCTTGCCGCTGGGGTGGTGCAGCACGCGGCCCTTGTGGCATTGCGAGTACTGCGTCGTCTCCGACGTGTAGTTCCAGTCGAGACGGGAGCGCGCCGTCAGGTGTACCAGACCGGCGAGCTGTAGTACATTACATTAATATTCCTTGATCAAAATAAACATATTATAAGTATACGTGTATACGCTGTGTGGGAAAGAGCCGTGTGTAGTGTTGCGCTGCTAGCACTTACCAACACTTCAAGCGAGGGGTCGTCGCCCGCCTCGAGCAGTAGCACGTTAAGTGTACGGTCCTCGCTGAGCCGGTTGGCGAGCACGCTGCCTGCCGTGCCGCCCCCCACTATCACGTAGTCGTACGTGCTGTAGTCTGCAACAAACTCACAACTATAACATTAAATTCTATGCTAGCGCTGTGTGGGCAGAAGCACAATTAGTTGTCTCGGTGTCGTTGCACTCACCGTATACGAGGGCTTGCTGCGGGAACAAGTAGGAGAAGAGCTTGAGGGAGGCCAGCAGCTGCAGTGCTATTTGTATGCGCCGGATGGTTGGGACGGCCGGTGTGTCCATTGTATGTTGGCCCTGTGGTAACATGTTGCACGATGAGGGAAACACAACAAACATTTGCTAACTAATTGCATCCCGTACAGCTAACTACAACAAAATACCTTGTATAATACTCAAATTTATGCTTAGCTAGTACAACAGGGAATTGGAATCAGTTAGGTCCGCCTCTAATTCCAATGACAAGTTGATAATTACTGGATCTAGAAGTGGATCGGCGGAGGAAGCTGTGCCACTGCACACTGAAGGGCCGACTGGGGCGCTTCCCAGTTCGCACATTGATGACATCGTAGCCACTGCTCGACGAAATAAAACAAGCCGAGATAGTTTGAAAAATATTTACAGATAAAGTTTGCTTACAATTGAGTCATTGTAACAGCAGTGTGATGCAGGAGCACTGTTTATATCTTCCTTCCTGACATTACGTCAATTTGGTGTTGATTTGTTTTGTTGAACATCATAACAAGGCTAATAAATGGCCAAAGATCAATACAATATTTAAAATGTATAATTTACAAGACGCAGTTAACTCCACTGACATGATATTAATTTAATTTCTACACAAAATATGAGCTGTTTCCTTGCACTGTGGATTCATGTTTCCAGCTTCTTAATTTAGGGCGATAGATAGCATTATAAAATTATGCAATTATTTATAAGAAACGTAATCTGTAATTCCCGACGCTACCTACCGGCTTAAGGCTCGACCAGTTGAGCGGCAAATAAATGTCGTAAAAGTGAAAATGCCTCGTAAAACAGACACTCTTTTGTTATAAAATCTACATGAACAAGGAAAAAACATTGGAAAGAGAAATGAAAGCGTAATTATTCGTCCCTTTGCTTCCATATCTTAATTAGCACTCTTTACGAGAGCCGCCTCAGCGCCATCTCGTGCCCGAATATTCTCAACACAATAATAATATTATGAATCCTCGTTACGAAGCAAACCCAACGACCTAATAATGGAACTTGAAAAATTATTTTATGTTAATTACGTTGCTAATGTCGGGTTTTAATGACGAGTTAACTCTGAATAGCTTCATCTGACACATTTGCTCGCAATGTCTTCATTTAATTTAATCATGTGAACTGTCATCAAAGATAATGTTTTAACTCGAACTAGAACTTTAGCTACAAAATTGGGACGTGTCCATGTAAAATGGATCGGTAAACGTCCCAATTTCATGTACTTTTACGTCGATTTAAAATTATTTTGCAAAATGCAGCAACAAAAATGTAGTTCAGAATATTAAGAACGCAATGTCGTCAGCTGAATATTGAGCGTCAAGTAGAGGGAAACTTGGATGAAAATGTTGTAATCCCTTTGAAAGTTTGTGGGCAGAGCGCGACCGCGATTATATCGGAATTAAAGTTTAATCGAACGCTCGCCGGCCGACTGACGTTGATGTATCGCTGTACGTAAGGTGACAGGAAACTTTTACACAAGTTAGTTTTTAACAAAAGACATTGTGCACTTCTATACGAAAAATGTTGTGCTTATAAAGACAAGACCAGTATAAATATTCTCTTCAACATCTACAAGTTGTAAGTCGTTGTTGAAGTATACTTCTTGATTGCACTGAAGGTAAACGTTGTTGGGCCTCGTGGAGCAGCTCAGATTCAGAAGTAGGGTTACTATAGCAAGAGACAACGTAAATAGTATACGACTGATCCAAGAAGTTTTCATTTAGAATAAGGTGTAGGGACATTAGTCTGGGACGTCTTAAGCAGTACCGCTGAGTGTATGCGGTTGCCAAATAGCAGGGGCGGCGAGTGGTGGGGCCGGTGGCTGGGGCAAGCCGCCTGCGTCGATGTGCCTGTGAGTTGTCCTTGTATTTAATTTACACAAAAGTTAAATGTTAGATAATAAAAATTAATGTACTCCTTAGATCAGAATGAATTGTACATTTATCACACACTATATATTATAATATATGCCAGCTGTGTGATGTGGACTTTCCTTATGTGGACTCCTCAAAACAAACTATTGAAATTACCCGAAATGTTATCCTTATTCTTGTGAGCGCGAAGACTCAGAGCTTCCTTTTATCTTTAAGTTTTTAAGCTACATGTGTGAATGACAAGCAATAAGTTCAACTTAGTAATAAGCTAGACGGTGCCCCTGCAGCAGAGCTACGCCGCCGGCAGCAAATGGCAAGAGGGAATGAAAGAATGGAAGCAAGCTCGCTGCGACTACATTTGAATGAAATTTGCTATTTTCTCGAACATATTCAACCGCACAGGTGTTGCGGGGACGTCGCATTAGGCTTGGCGCGCGGCCAGACCTTGCCATGCAAATTTTATATAAGTTTGTGGGCCACCTGGAGCTCCACCCGGCCTAAGGACGCGCTACTCGCTGCCGCTGCATATCAGCTTGTTAAATGTCGTGTCTATGGGAGCACATCTCAGCGAACTGGACTTCCTTTTGTGCGACGTTACCGTCATAATCATATGTGATTTACTGTGAATACAAAACATAATATGTATCATCCCTCCTGGTCAACACTCCGCAACATTTCGCCACAAGATCACAGCGTTAGATTGGATTACGTCGCGCTCGCGCTAAAAGCTTTTTCTCGTTTTTCGGTTTTTCATATAACATTCCACGCCTCGCCTCGCAAGTCGGCACGGGCTTTACTTGTATTTACTCACGTAAATAGATACGAGTACTATATACAGAAAAATACATATAAGTAGGTACAATACGTTTACTAAATGTAGTTGTTCCTGTACATTTGTGATGATAAAGGGTCTTGACAGACAGACGGACGGATAACAAAGTGATCCCATAAGGGTTCCGTTATTTTCCTGTGAGGTACGGAACCCTAAAAATGTACAAAGTGCTGTGTGACAAACTCCCTCTAGCGTTGTTATGTGACCTTAGTCTCGGACATTCAGACAATGTCAATAATTGAAATAAAAATAATTTATTGCGCAAAAGATGGTACAAAGTTAAACTTGTGTCTGGAGTTACATATAAGCATCCGGTAAGTAAAAATTGTCTTCTAACTTTGAGCATAGCAGACATGTGACAATTGTATCGCATAGTAAATGTATTTTATTATCAAGTTTTATTATAGCTTGTGCAATATCGGAGCTGCATGAGGTCGGGTGCGTTGTCTCTGGCTAATGAAATTGTTGCCTTTGAACGGCGTCCGGCGACCGGCGCCCGGCGACCGGCGGCATGTCGTACAAATACTCGTAACGTAATATAACGAGTGCGAGCACGTTCACTAGCCATTGATGACAGTTTTCATAAAATGAATGTTATAAATATGACGGAAAATTAAATATATCACGTACACTCAACTTCCTAAACAAAATCTATTTTCAATTAAGTTACCTTGAACATAAACGGCAGGAGTAATACTGAGACAAAGAAAGCCGATTCCAGGTATTTACTGATTCAAATCGAGACATAACTTGGTCATCTCGGTGTGGACGACGTGTACAGAATGTGTGTATAAAGAAAAAGGTTTTTTTATAGCATCAGGTGGCAAACGTAGAGCGGCCATCTAAAATCGCTGAAATAGTGAAGTGACCGTTGCTCATAGACATACGCAATTGCATATGCGTTGCCTACATTTAATCGACGGAGGAGAGGATGCACCGAAAGAAAATATTTTCCCTATCCATGCATCCTCCCATCCGGAAAGTCCACTTCCACTTCCCATCCTTTCCTTATAAGAAAAGGGTGGGAAGGGAATGAGAACTAAATTAGGCCTCCGGGACGCACACTCATCAAAGGAAACGCGGAATTGCTTCCACTTCACGCCTGTCTTCTGAGTGGTCGTGGTATTTCACCGGGCGAACCGGGCCAACTCGTGCGAAGTGCGTTAAAGCGGGCGCTACACGAGTAAGTAGAGAGGTGCGAAATCATAAAGCCACTAGATCTTAAACTGAGACCATATCGATGTATGTACGTTGCTTCTTTTGCAACACGCATCATTACAACATAAAATGGTTGGCAGTGGTAGGTGAGATGCGAGGTAAGGCGTAAGGCGTGTGCATTAGCGGCTCACTGCGCACCCCGCATAGCTGTGAAACATCACGCCGTGTTCAAAAACCGGTCCGGACACTTAGCGTACAATTAAATATGCTGTATAATGATGTAATTGCAACTTTATCGAATACTTTATAACTAGCAATTTACACTTATCTATATTTGTTTAGTATTGGGAACAAATTTAACATTCATTTTGTTTATTTAAATATTTATGTTCAAAAAAGGAAAATTAACCTAGTTACTGTCTAATGGAATAATATAAAATATAAATAAATAGATTCTACCGTTTTGCTTAAATATACCTGTCAAGTGATAATGCTTGTTGTAGCAGCAGCAGCAGCGGCAGCAGCATGGACGTGGAGGCTTCGCTGGCGTCCACAGTGAATGCGCAGGAGGCGTTCCGAGCGCTGGCGCTGCTGCAACTCACTTACACTTTATTTCTGTAGAAAAACACAGACGTCCTCTCCCTCATTCCCTCATTCCCTGTCAACGTAAAGTTTTGGAATATAAATATAAGATTTCATAGGACCCACGGCTCGACTTACGTAACTAATTTCTGGCTTTGTAAAATTCATTTGCGTAACACTGAGATTTACATAAAAAATTTTACATTGGAATTTACTCTTATGTTTGAGTTGCAGCTTTGTTAGTTTGTTTTTGATAAATATTGACAAAGTTACGCTACGGACCGTTCATGTGACAGATGGCGATTGCTTCGACTACGTGATAGTGGGGGGCGGCGGCGCAGGCTGCGTGCTGGCCAACCGGCTGTCGGAGCAGCCCGGCGTCACCGTGCTGCTTGTCGAGGCGGGCGGTGACCCGCCTATTGAGGCACAGGTACAGACATACGCACAAAACCTTTTTTCGTTGTATGCTTTAAAAAACTTCTATAAATATAGTAAAAATTATTAGTAACTATATGATATTTTTCAGTGGCCTGCTTTGCAAACTTATACACTACGGAGTTATCTGGACTGGAACTACACGACGACGCCGGATCCGGTGTCGCAGCGCTGCCACAAGCAGCAGTCCGGCAACATAGTAGCGGGCCGCGTATTGGGGGGCGGCACCACCCTCAGCTCGCTCTACTACGTGCGCGGTAACCCCCGCGACTACGACACCTGGGCCGACCTGCTCGCCGACCGTAGCTGGAGTTGGGACGCTGTCTATCCTTACTTCAAAAAAGGTGAACACTTAAAAGACTGCGAAGTCCTGAGCTCCTCGTGCGCTAAATATTACGGCACCAGCGGATACCTAGGCCTCACCAGGGACCCCGATCCCAAATCGAGCAGATATTTGAACGCCTTTAAGGAATTAAACTATTCGACTCCCCTAGATATTAATGGATGCTCTTTTTCGGGATTCGTTCAGCAAATGTTTATGATCGCCGACGGCGAACGCCAGAGCACCGCTTACGCTTACCTCAGCCCCATCAAGGATCGGGCGAATCTTCACGTTCTTAAGCACGCGACGGTCTACGAAATTTTATTTGATAGTTCTGACCGGGCCATCGGAGTGAAGCTGACAAAGGATAATAAAAACATATCTGTGAGAGCTAGAAAAGAGGTGATCCTATCTGCGGGCGCGTTCAACAGCCCACAGCTGCTCATGCTGTCGGGAATCGGGCCCAAAGAGCACCTGCAGGAGTTGGGTATCCGCGTACGCAGCGATTTGCCTGTAGGCTTTAACTATCAAAATCATGTATCCGTTTTTGTTCCTTTTAAAATGGATTACTCCCAGGCTCCACTGGAGCCGACAGATCCCCGCCGAAGTCCTCTGTTCACATCGCTCGTCGGTAGCGTCCCGGCGATCGGTTCCGAGGATCGCATAGAGTACGAAAATGTCAATTACATAGTGCAGCACGACTCTCAGGATCTATTACAGTTTTGTGCGTTCTATCACGGTTACGAAAATAGAATTTGTCAAACTTTATTCGATGAGAGCCGAGGCAGAGACGTGCTGCTGTCGTGCGCGGTCCTGCTGTACCCTGAGTCCCGCGGCCGCGTGACGCTGCGCAGTGCAGACATCGCCGATCCGCCCCTCATAGACGCGGGCATACTGCGCGACGAACGAGACTTGGAACGGTACGTGGGTTACATTGAAAATACACTCAGGTTACTGAACACTACGTTATTTAGAAACGTCGAAGCGGAGGTCGTGGACTTAAAATTGAAAATGTGCGAGGGGCTCGAGCTGTGGAGCAAGCCGTATATTCGTTGTTTCGTTCGTTGCATAGTAGCCACGCTCCACCACTACGTGGGCACGTGCGCCATGGGGTCGGTGGTGGACAGCGAGCTACGCGTACGCGGTGTGAGTGGGCTACGCGTGGTGGACGCGAGCGTGATGCCGCGCATAGTCGGCGGGCCCACAACTGCAGCCGTCGTTATGCTCGCCGAGAAAGCCGCCGACATCATTAAATATGGTCGTCACATAAACTTAAATAGTAATCAGTGTCAACCCCAGGATTCTTCATATCACAATCACCAAACAAAGAAAGAGTCCGAACCCGAATACTTCCAAAATCCACATCGTAAAACAACAAAACGGTACAAATATCCCCATCATGAAAAAGAGATGGAACATTCTCAGTATCAGCAAACACAAAAGGAGCTTGTACATGAAGTGTCTCAAAATTCCCATGAGAAAACAAAAAAGGAGTCGGACATACAGTTTCCTAAAACCCCTGCGATACAAGACAAAAAGAAGTCGGACATATAAGATTTCAATATCCCCATCAGAGTTAGTGCTAATGTTCTTTGTAAAGTAAAGCAGATGTGAATGATCCCTATCCCCCTATCCCTACCTCACTGTACGTGAGGTCGCCGCACCAGGTTTCCTCCTCCAGATGGATGTATTTGCCATCATTTCAGTCATCACATCCTTTCTTATAATATCACCTTGGACGCAATCCCTCTATCCCTGTCTCCTTTCTAGGACTCGATGTTGTAAACATTAGAATTAATAAATTGCTACACATTCGTTTTAATAATATTTATCAAATTAATTATGATGCTTTTTCTTACTTCTTCTTTACTGTTTATGTAAAATGTGGCCAAGATATTATGGGGACATGAGTAAGGCTTTGTCTAGGTAATCAGACAACTTGGCATTTCGTGTTACAAAACAAATTATAGTTCCGGCCAACAGTTGCACGAAGATGGGAATTAGTTCCTTAGTAAACAGGAGGAATTCGAGAATTAGTGTACGAGCGATCCCCATACCACGCCGCGTCACCACGATGCTATTATACAATGCCGGTACGCCGGGAAACGGGAATGTGCGAACGCAGGGAGACAGCAGGCGTGCACTTGATTCAAAGCTGCACCTTGCAAAAACGATGCCAAGCGCTTGACTAAGGAGAAATAAAAAATTACAACATCTATACGTAAGTTGTAGTTGGGAAAAGCCACAGGTTCCGGACAAGATAAATAGTCAAGTAATTAGCGCGAGCGCCAGCCCGCACATGTAGGCGCGGCTTCGGCACAGCGTAAGATAATTGAAACAACAATATGTAGGAAGGCAACCTGCAGCTTCACTTAATTATACAGCTTAGTTACCGGCGCCGCGCTCGTGTTTACATCACTTACCAACTTATACTATTTCAATAACTAACGCTCCAAAGAGATTCCTATTCAAAGAGTTTTAAACCAACGAATGGAGAAGTAAGAAGTAGGTGTGTGATTAGCATCGGTTAAAAACAATAGATATTTTGTGCATATTATAGTTACATCCGTTAGAAAGCTACGATATCCATAATAAATATAAATGCACAGAACGTAGGTAACAAGTGAGACTGTGGACTTAAACCAAATTACAGTCGTCGCGAATAGCAACAAACCCGGGTTCCAGTTGCAGTTCAAGAGCTAATTATTTATCTTCGCGTCGCTGTACGCTACAGGCACAGTGCGGGCAAAGTGCAGGCAGAGTCCAAGCTGTAGGCTGTTGGCGTTAAGGTGAGAGACGTCAAGAATTTCCTTTGTTTACATAAAATATCACCCAAAACCTTTATTATTTGTGATAAAGAATATTACGTATGTTAACTAAGAAATGAGACAGAAGGGGATATAATTATTTGAATTTATGTATAACAGTTCTTTTGGCCTATTATGTTGTCAAATAGTTGTAAAAAAGTGGACTTGCGATTTTTGTTTATTTTGAAGTATTCACATCTCTAGGCAACCGACTGCAGCATGTTCATCATAAGTGGGAAATGTTAGTATAGTTCGATTTTAATATTCCTTAAGAAGATATCAAAGCAAAGCAAAAATAATACTTTTGGTCACTGCTGGTGTTGGCAAATTTTGTTTTCAATTCAGCGCCTGCAGCACTAGCATAGCAGAATACAAATCTTATTATTTTACGTATATTTTTATAGCCTAAGACATTCTAAATAAAATAGTCGTGTAACGAAACGAACATTGATCTTTATATAACATTGTTATTTGATATTTGTATAATATGTTAAATATATTTACTGAAAATGTAATCGTCAATAACAAATGTAGGCGCAATTCCATTTCTGTTCGAATTAAAAAAGTTTTCTCGTAGATTTGGAAACAGTGATTCCATAACAAAAACGACAATAATTCACATCAACATTGGCGTTTGCAAAATGACTAAAGTAATAAACAAAAACGTTATAAAACTTTTACATTCTCCGCACATCGCAGGTAATAAACAACACTTTTCTTTTTAGTAGTTTAATATAGGAATTTAGGCTTAGATTAATAAAATATATACTTACAACTTAAAGGTTCTCTTTCTCTGCCTGCCTCAATGTAACTATTGTAAGTTGGAATTTTTTTAAATGTAAGATAGAAGCGAAATGCAACAACAACTCAAAACATTGGACAAAGAAAATGCTTCACCTCGCATTAAAGCCAATGAATTGAATATTGCAGAGATAAGCAAAGTAAATAAACAGCGCGGCTTTATCCGGGGGCTTTGGCATGCTTAGGAGCGTGAGGAGTCAAATCCGGAGCTTTTGGAGGCGATACGAAATGCGCAGTCTGGCGCCACGCCAGCGCCCCGCTTACGCCCCGCTGATGCCCCGCTAACGCCCCGACACCAGCCCCGTAACAATTGATACACGGAAAAACATCTCCAGCTACGTACGATGATCAATTAAATCTTACAAAATAAGTCTGGATTGTGATACGAACAATTAAAATGTATTATATAGACAAGACTATCTTATACGCAGCGACCGAGGCTGAATGCCCGCCTCGTGTCCGCCTCGCTCCCGTGTAGTTACTTTGACAAAGGATAGCGCGTGTCACAAGCAAACGTCGCGCGAACGCCGTAACGTGATTTTAATAAAATCAAACGAGCCGTTGTTATCAATACGAACCGTGTGTCAAAAACAATGACGTCCCTCGTCCTCGATTTACGTAGAATTGTAATTTAATGCAATGATTAAAGAAAACATTCATTTTATTAGAGGTTTTATTAGACCTGTCTGAAGTTAAATTAATTAAATTAACATTTTACTTAATCGAGGTTATTAATTCTCAACTTAAATGGTAAATTAAGTTTTTATTAAAAAAAAAGGATAGAATTACAATTTCATAGTCTAGAATAAACAGTGCTCAAACGGCGCCCTAAATGCATTTCACCCGAGGGGCACGGCGCTCGAGGGGCACGGCGCTCGAGGCATGTCGTTCGCCACGTATTTGTTTTATCTCCTGTATGTGAACACGTGAGTTGGTGAATTGAGGGAGTCATTAATGTGAATGCTAATGCATATCTTGCTCAATTACTGACTAGCGTCTTTATCCAGTGAATAAGCGCTCGATACAGATGAAGTGTTTCAGTTAAAACTTATTTCTACATATATTATTAATGTAACTAATTTAATTAAAGTAAATATCTAGTTAAATGCACAAGCATAATAAGAATTAGTTTTCTTTAATCAAACATTGACATTGGCCAAAGAATATTTTATTACAGACACTATGACTGGATGCACTTTGAAGAACGTGAAAAGCAGTTTTTAAGTTTTACTGACTTTATATCGGCGTGCGGCACACGCCGACACCGACACTGACACCAACACCGAAAGCGCAGCGAAAACTTTTACGAGGTCCTAAGAGCTGCCGCCGACAGCGGTGCCCCCCGCGCTCGGTGTTCCCGGTGCAACTTTAATTTGCCTTAATTAATGTCGACCCAAACTTTGTACGGGGACATGCTTCTTCTTAAATCACACCCTTTTGCGACTTTTCCAAAATGTCATAATCAATTTCATTTCGGATACGCTGGCTCGCTGTGCAGCTTTACACTCTGAAGCACATTCTTAGTTACCTTTTAAAATATATTTAATATATAATTATGTGGATATATTAGAACGCATTACGTGTGTACGACATAAAACTTATATTATATATATATATATATACATATTATATACACATATATATACAGCGCTACCAAGATATTTGCTTTGAGAAATATTATATATTTAACAGTATTTATTTTGACCAGAAGAAGGTGGCAGATGGCAGCAGCTAGCTGATGAGTACCTCTAAGGCTTTGAGTGAAGAGGTACGGGCATTGTGACAATAAAGGTGACATTACATCAATGGCAGTATGTCGCAACTGGAATAGCAACCGCTGTGTTGGCTGCTGAATATTGATGCGGCCAGTGATCTGTATGGAGCGCGGTGCGATTGCGACACGACTGCGCTACGACTGCGACACGACTGCGAGCCATCCCACGCGCTACGATCTCTACATTTACTCCGCGTAATGGATTAGACTTTATATTTTAATCCGAGGTTCCCATTTCACTGATTGCGCTACATTTTCGGCAGGCGTGCTCTGATTACAGATGGATTTAATTATTTACTATTTACATAAATTAATCCTACTTTTTTGTTGCTGCAGCTACAGATACATAATAGTCTTATTCTCATATATAAATAGCTAACCAATGCGTACATCTAAACATTGCTAACAATATCAGTGATTACATCACAAATAACTGATTTTAACTCGTTGTGGTGTTTAAATATAATACAACTATCAGCTAAGGATTATAAAGTAGATATAACATGATGTTCGGCTCAATGTTTGCGTAATGACAGGGAAGTGTGTCAGCACTCTGCAGGAAACTATGAAACTATAATTTACAGCCCACTTCTGCACATTTACTTTTGAAAACCAAAAAATCTTCCAACCTCTTTAATTATTTCTGAAACTTTGTTGTAGGAGAATATACTGTTGTATATTGCTGTTGCAAATTCAACAGTTTGTCAAGTTTTATCCATCCAGTACATAAGTAATAAATATTGCCTTTTATGTGTCACACTTGTGCACACTAGTTCGTGTTCTGTGTGGTGTACAACAGTCACTTTTTCTCTGTTCCATCGTCAGTTTTGATGACGTCGTGAGCATAAACATAAAATGTTAAGCGCAATGTTTATGTTAGCTTTTACTGACACGTGTAGGGCTGTGCTCGTGGAGGCCGGAGGCAGAAGGCAGGAAGCAACCGTAGGCTCATTGCGAATATCGCTCCCCGAGGGCGCGTAAGGGAGCTTCCCTTGCAAGGAATGAGCCGACTCTTTGCGGTCGGACTCCTCGCGGACTCGTTTCAAATTTGGCGTTACTCGGAAAGGAAGTTTCGCGCCTCGGATGTTCTGTGTCTGCATGTCGTAAACATTTCATATTTATTAACCTTCGGAGGGCTTTTGATGTTTCTACTTTTGATTTATACATCCAGGTTTTTTTCTTCAAAGATTGTTTTACAAAAGTAGAATAAAACAATGTCGAATCTAATAATAAGGCTATTTATTTTTGATGTTTAATGAAATTCCATGAAAATGTATGTAAAAAGTAAATATTATGTACAATTTCCCCGTTTATCAGTGTGATAAAGTAGCGCGGGCGACGAGCGGGCGACGAGCGGGCGACACGACACTACCACCGCACTGCACCGTCACGCAGATAAATTGATTTATGTCAATATATAATGGTGTCGCCACGGAATTGTCGACTGACAGGGTAATTCATTTTATAATTAAATTCTGTATAATATGTTGTGTCATCAATCATATCATATTGAATGGAATATGTTAAACATTTTGAGCTACATGTAGCGTATGCGTATATTTGTTATTTCTGTATGCTTTCACGAGGTAAATTTACTAAGAGTAAACGTGACTCTGCTGACTGGCTACTGCTGGTTAAGTTCAATAAACTATATTAATCATGAAATGAGAACAACTCATCTATGTATAATACATATATTTATATAAATTAAAATATACTGTGGTACACAAATCTTTGCAAATATGCAAAATCAATGACGTCATATTTGCTTTTAATAAAAGGGTATACAGTTGTCGATCGCAAACGGATTGCAATGCAGGGGGGGGGATGAAGGGAGTGGGGGTCAGCATCTGCAACTTACACAGCAACAGCCCGCGCAGCGACAATCTCGGAGCGACCAGCCCGCTCTAGTTTCAGCATAAATTACCGTATTTGCTTACAGTATATAGTTAAGACATCCGATCTAGAGATCGTAAATCTCCATCGGATTACTGGCCTTAAAATAATCAAACCAAGAGTATGATGAGCCTGAATCAAAGACATATAACACAAGTATATAAATAACTACATATATATATATATATGAATCTCTGCTATAAAAATGAAATAAATATTCATATTCGATTCGCTCTTTATTGATCACCACAATTAAGTAACTAATGAGCGCCTGACATCGGATCTGAAGTAAGCTGTCCACCATCGCTGCAACAGTAGCGCTACTCTACCTACTGCTCAATTATTCACACAGATTGAAACATCAAACTGCATCGTGACGCGACGCGGTGCATACATTCCGTTACTAAACGAAGTTATGCTGTAAATACATTTGCCCGACAGGTAGGCCGCCCTCCGAGCAGATTGAACGTCGTAAACACGTCACATCGCTGGGGACCGTGAGTGAAGAGCATTCACATAAGCCTTCCTCATTTATGACACATACTAAACAATATGGTGAAAGGTTTCCCCTCTCTCAATTTGAATACTTAACTAAATTCTTTAA